ACACACACACACACATAATTTAAAAACAAAATAAAATATTTAAATAGGTACTTTATGTATAAGGTTTTCATCAATAAATTTAGTTGTACAATATTAAGAACATAAACAATCCATGCACACCAAAATATTCATCATCGAAGAGATATTTTGAAGGAAAAAAGGATGAAACACAAGAGAAATATTAAACTGTGCTTTGAGATATGAAAAGTTGAAAAAAGAGAAATTGGTTTGGCAGAAATAATATAATAAATTCATATACTTTTACTGAAAAGAGATCTAATGTACTCATTACTACATAACCTTTCACAAAAATTCCAAGGTTCTGGGAAATTTGCAACCCAAAGTCTGCCTATAGCAACGTTTAAGGAAAACAGAAACATGCAGATATCTTGCCATTCTGAAAAATGTTACTGTAACTCCTGAATTAACAAAGGCAGTTACAATTGAATGTTGCTTGTGCTGATAAGTTCATTTTCTAGGAATTGATAATTCATGCATGGGTTAGAACACTTTGAAAGATTGAATATATATGCACAGGGGAAAATTCTCAATGTGAAACGAGTAAAAACTGCATGTGCCAACACTGTTTAGTCATGATGTATAAAAAATAATGATGACTACCGTTTTATGCATATACAACCTTAATTTCAAATCTTCACAACAAAATAGCTAGGTCAGAATTACTCCTCACTTTAGAAAGAAAAAAGTTAAAAGTGGGAAAATTAGCGATGGAAACTGTGAAAAGTGCATGTTATTTACCAAAGATCTCTTTGCCGCTAAGTACTGAGTCAGGATTAAATCCCTCATCCTTGATTGCCTTTTCTAGCTGAGTCTGAGATTAAAGTTGACCTTTTACGGGGAAACTTCATCAGAAGCCCCTGGCAGAGTTAATCATTCTCATCTGGATCCCCAAAATATTTTGAGCATGGTTTTATTAGCTTACTTTTACTGTTCCTATGCCTAAGTCTTTTTTTTTAATAGAGCCAGCCTCTTAAAGGTATGTATTAGTCTCAGTGATTCATTATAGTCTCTGCAGGCAACAGTGTCTGGTACATGTATAGTGGACAATAAATGGCATTTTAAGTAAGGAATTGCAAAAAGATACATACAACTGAACACTGAGGACTGTAGGATGCATGTGTGTTTACAGTTTACTAAATGATATCAAAGAAAAGAAAATTAAAAATTGTTAGTGAAAACTATGCACTATAGCAGCCAACATATTTTTTGAAACATAATTATAGCCAGTAAATAGTTTCAGAATTAATTCACAACAATAGAATTTTTTTAATATTAAGGGAATACTGCTCCATAAATCTTTAGCTTTTGACAAAGAGATTTAAAAATGCAGAGGAGAGTAATATGAAGACGGTAGTGTTAGGGAAACTGACATCTTCATACTGGAGTAGATCCTGATGTAAACGTTACATTGCAACAAAGTGTCTAAAATAAGAAATCTTCCTAGAGATAAGTTGTTTCATTTTATATCTAAGGAGGATGGAGCCTGGGGATTCAATTATGTGTACAGTCGTGCATCAGCTTGAATTGGAATTTCAGCCATGACTAAGTTAAAATTATTGGATTAATAAACAGAGACATGGAAAGATAAGCCACAGGTTTTGAGGCTGCATCATAGACATTAAGGACTTTCCTCACTGACAGAAGAGTCCCACTGCCACTTAGTTCTTCCTAGATTAGGGAAAAATTTACAGGTATAGAAAAGAACTGCTCCTAGCAGGTAGTAGTTCTGCTGAGCTCCAGGGGTGGAGATGAGGGTCCTGGAGCAAAGAGCATTTGTGAAGATAAAGCTGTCAAAATGGGTCGGGACATTATATGGGAGTCAGGTGGATGGAGGAGAATCTGCCGCAATTAAAGCAGTGTATACATAAGCAGGGAAAATCCTAAGAGTTACAGATACTCAGAGTTTAGAGGTACTGATAAACTGTCATCTGTGGAACTCCGGTCCTGACTGAATATAAATATAATGTGAACAAGTTATTAACAGCTCCACATCAGCCCTGGAAAGAAAACTCTGCCATAGAAGCAGGGCTATGTTCTGAAGGAATTCTTAACTCTAAGCAACAGACCAAGCTTAACTATACCATAACTAGTTCCCCAGGTTAATAGCTGAGCACAGACCAAGCTTAAACCATACCATAACTAGTTCCCCAGGTTAATAGCTGAGCCCCGCACATTAGAAAGACTGGAGAAAAAGAAAATCTGAGCCTTCCACAAATTCATTCACAGTACCAATGTTTAAAGCCAAGCCAACATAAGACCAAACAGGACAGGCAGTAACTGGACTGTTCGGTGAATAAGTAAAACATTTCATGTACAGTAACAGAAATGCATGATTACTTCTGGATATCTGTCATCCACTGTGGAAGGTGATTAAAAAATTACTAGATATAAGTGCACAAGAAACACTATGTGTTGAAATAGAAACAGTACTTATTCAAAACTTATTTGAGACTATCCATAGGTGAGAATCTGGATAATAATTTTAAAGAAGTATTATAGTTTGAATCTAAAATGAACTCTAAAAGTCATGCCCTACAGGCTTGGTTTTCAGTTGACAGGTTTGGGGGAAGTGATTCAATCATAAATACCCTCCTCTGGTTAATGGATTGGTTAATTTGATAGGCTATTGGAAGATAGAAACAGGCCTAATTGAATGGAGTAGGTCTTCCAAACACATTATCTCATCCCAACCCTTTGCTCCGTCTTTTCCCTTCTAGGCCACTAGGGGAGATGTTTGCTTTGTCACAGGTTTCTGCCATGATGCTTCCTCTCAGTACAGTTCTCTTAGAGATGGAACTAAGTCATCATGGGTCAAAAATCTCCAAAACTGAACCAAAATAAAATTTTCTTTCTTTTAAATTGCTTTGCTCAAGTATTTAGTCTTAATAGTAGATAGTTGGCTTACAAACAATTGTTATCAATGTGTTTAAGATACTAAAGTGAAAAATTGAAATGAACAGTCAATCCTGGACACTCAGGAGAAAAAAAAAATCATTCTTTTAAAGTGTATAAATTCTAGACCATGAAACAAAACACCTGAGCTAAAAATTTTACTGCATAGGTGTATTAGTACAGATAGCATAAAAATTAATCCCTGAACATTAAGGCAAATTAATAGAAATGGTTTAATGTGAGGATAAGCAATGAAAACACTTTAAAAAAATAGTCTTGTAAATTATAATACAGCAGTAATAATCGAGTAATTAAATTCTCAGAAGAAAAGTGTAAGACTGAATCAGAGAAATATTTAATGAAATAATAACTGATAACTTTGTAACTATTCTGCAAATACTGAATTATAGATCTAGGTCAGTAAACAGTCATAAGCCTGAAAAGGACCATAAATAATCACTTCATCTTCAGGTCACTGGGTCATAAACCTAAAATGTGATGGCTACAGAAAAACTGGAAGAAACACAGAAGAAAACTGAGAGCACTAAGTGAGTATCTGTGAAACACTGGAGGGAACCCTCACCTTGTCAACCCAGAATCATGTGCTAGTAAATACTGTGTATTCTTCAGAAACTCAGGGAAATATAAACCTTAAAAAAAAAAAGTACTTGCCGATAATAGCGCTGCACTATAAAAAAGTTAAAGTGTTCTTCAAGCTGGAAATAAACGATATCAAATTAAAGATCCCAAGGAGGGGAATGAGGAGTACAGAGATAGGGCACAGATGTTCACCCCGGAAATCTTGCCATTGCTGCTCCAATATAACAGGAACAGTACCGAGCAGGAAGGACCCAGAACAATTGCCATTAGTGATTTTTTGTTGTCTTTGCTTTTGCTTAAGTACAATGAATTTTCTTATGATTCTCGGACTAATAACAATCTTTTGTTTTTAATGAGTGTGTATTGTGTGTGTATACATATGTGTGTTTGTGTTGTATTTGTTAGTGTGCACGTGCACATGAATGCCCACAGGTTTGAAGGTTGACATCTGGTGTATTTCTTCCAGTACTCTCCACCTTTATATTTTGAGACAGGGTCTCTCCACTAAACTTGAAGGTCATTGATTGGACTACCCTGGTTGGCCAAATTGCTTAATGGATCTGTCTGTTGTTGCAGAATATTACTTTAACTATGCAAAAATGTGTTACATTTGTTTGTGCTGCATTTGTTTAATAATGTAAAGATGTGTTGCTTTGCCTGCCTAAGGAACCTGATTGATCTAATAAAAAGCTGAACAGCCAATAGTTAGGCAGTAGAAGGACAGGTTGGGCTGACAGACAGAGAGAATAAGTAGTAGGAGGAATTGAGGCTTGAGAGAATGAGAGGAGAATGAAGGAGAAGGAGAGGGAGATTCTCAGGGCTAGCCAGCCAGGCAGCAAACAGACAGGCAGCAGACAGACAGACAGACAGACACAGAGGAAGTATGAAAAGTAAGACATACAGAATGAAAGAAAGGTAAAAAGGCCAGAGGCAAAACATAGATGAAGAGAAACATGTTAAATTAACTCATAAGAGCTAGTGGGACAAGCATGACATGAAGCCTAGCATCCATAACTAATAATAAACCTCCATGTCTTTATATGGATGCTGGTGGTTTGAGAAAGCCTGCTCTGGTCTCTGTCTCTACACCCCACCCCCCACTACCACCCCTTCCCCCAGGAATGCACTGCTACCCCAGGCTTTTTCATGGATTCTGAGTATCCAAATTCAGATCCTTCCTCATGCTTATGAGACATACTCTACCAACTGAGCCATGTTTTCAGGCCTTTTGGAATTTTACTTTTTTTTTTTTTTTTTAAATTTTCAAAACCCATTTATTTATGAAATCATTAAGTTGACCTGCATAATTTCAACAAGTAAGAGCTTCATTAAAAAAAAAAAAACTGTGACATATAATTCATTGTTTTTTAAGAAAAGTCTTATTTACACATTGAGGAACAAAGGTTTCTTTTTGTTTTTTTTAATGTAGAACATCCATCAAGCAGTCCTAGCATTCTAAGAACGCTCCAGAAAGGGAAACCCAAAGGGAGCTGCCGTCCTTCTCAATCATACTCAGAGAACCGAATGTACTGACTGGCTTGTTGAGTCTTGACCAGTCTAATCTTCTCAGCTTTGGTGATTAACTTCTCCGTGCCTCTTTTCTTCTCCCGAGGTTGATTAAGTTTGGCCTGTCTATCTACCAAAATCTTCTGCCAGTACCTCTGCTCGTGATCACCAGAAAGGACCTCGAGGTTCCAACAGTGCTTCTTTCTAATTTCAGTCTGTGCATTCATTACCGCCTGAGCATCCTCGGGAGTTTTGAACCGGGCATGGCATTCAGTATCTCCTTCTAGCAAATCAACGTAAACAACTTCTGAGATTGTGGCCAAAATATCCCTGACTTGCTTCCTGCCAGGTAGAGGCTCTGTGCTCGTGATCTTCACAATAACTCCGTTCACGAACTGTGGACCTTGTGCACTGGCCTTCTCCTGGGTGCAGCACTCTGGAGGGCCAACTGCTTTCCCATTATTCACTCCAGACTCAGCAGCCGCGGCACAGTCTGTTTCCATTTCTGACTCCAATTTTATCTGAGATATTGTTTTTTTCAGAGAAGCCATGCTGGCTTTTTGCAGCGCCAAGTACTCTTTTTTCAAATCCATCCACTCAGTTTTGGACAACACTCTCAACGGTATAACCTCTTCTCCCATTTTATGTCTCTCCTTATGTTTTTTCTTATGCTTCCTCTTCACTTTCAGGAGTGAGTCACCTTTTGTGTCTCCAGTCTCTTTCTCCTCTTCTGTAGAGCAGAATTCTAAGTCTCTGCTTTCCTTGGAGACTTCAGAAGCAGCTTCGCTAAGGCCATCCTTCTGAGTCCTTTTCTTGGTTTTTGGCCTGGGGGGGAGGCAGTCTTCGTCCTCAGCGCTGCTTCGCTCCCTCTTCCCTGTTCTGACTTCAGGTAAGACGGATACCTCGACCTTGTCTCGTTTCCTCTTTTTCTTTGCAGGTTGCTTTGGAACGTCAGGAGTCTCTGCTTCAGAGCCTTCTTCGGAGGCCGTCCTTGGTCTCTTAGCTTTGCACACATCCGTGCTACCGGTGTCTATACTTAACTCTTTGGCCTGCATACTGTCTTCCTTCTTTAGTCTGCCTTTCTTCTTCTTCTTCTTTTTCTTCTCTTCAGCTACTCTTAAGGAAGGGATGGGTTTGTTTTTAACTGTCTTGGGAAATATGCCAGGTTTTCTTGGTGCTTCTTCGGGTGGGTTGTTAAGAAACTCAATGGCTTTTGCTGCTTGTTCTTTCGTTTCAAACTCCACAAAGGCAAATCCCTTGGGATCCCCTGTAGACTTGTAATGTGGAATACTTATGTAAACCACATTGCCACATTTCCCAAATACTCTTTCAATCCAGCTATGAGTAACATTTTTGGGGAGTAACTCCACATACACGGTGCGTTCCTCCTCATCCTTTGGCCTCTCACCTAGGGGCTTTTTTCTCCGGATTTTGGTTCCCTCTAAGTTCAACTCTACCACAGATGAGCTTTTCAATGCTCTTGCTATTAGCTTCCCATCAGTGGTTAACTTCTTCATTTTGTTAAAAGATACCAGAAGAGAGATGTCCACATATCCATCTCTAGATTTTTCAATTTGCTCGCGAAGAAACCTGTCCTTGTGAAGGTTTGCATCCCCAAACCAGAAGTCTACCTGCTTGGCAATATCTGCAAGCACCTGTTTAACCCTTGAGCGTTTCTTTTTTTCTTCTTTTCTCTTCTCAGTGCTTTCTTCCATAGTTTTTTTATTTTCAGTTTCCATTTCTGCTCGCGTCCCCAAATCCACGCTCAGCGACTGCCTTCTTCCACGCTTTCTGTCCCCCAAGCCTTCGAGTCGGCGTAAATTCCGGAATTTTACTTTTAATGGGAGAGTGTACCTAGTTTTTTTTTTCAATTATGTACTCTAGGATTATGCAAAACAAGTTGATAACTAATGGGTGATATACTCTATACTTGGCTTTCTTAATATTAACTGTCTTATTTTTAAATTCTAGTTATCAAGGAAAAATGTTCTAGACATCAGGAGCTTTTATTGTGGAAATGTCAAGATTCTATTCTTCTAAATCAAACAAAGAGTTAATCGTGAAATTTCATTAGATGATATTTAACACCAACCTGAATGACTAATTCAACAGGCTAGTAGAAATAAATAAATATGCATGATAATAGAATTTTCATACACTGTTGGAAGGATATAAACAGTAGAATTGCTTTGTAAGATAATCGGGTGCCTTTCTCTTACCAAGTCAAATATATATCCACGCTACAACCCAGCAACTTTAGTGTTGTCTACTTAATAAAAAGAAACTGAAGAAGTCTTCAAAAGTTATTGATATTAGCATTTTTAGGAACTTTAGTTAGTACTGCCAACCTAGAACTAACCCACATGTCTGGCAATATGAAGCAGGTAAACCAATTATGCTATATGGCTGTCATTGAATGCTATTCAATGGTTAAGTAAACAATAAAACCATAAACCATTGGTATCTACAGCAACCAGGATACAGATTAATACTATTATGCTGATCCAGAAAAGCCAGACAATGAAGACCATGCATTAGCATGATTGGTAATACCTGAATTGGAGTATTGACTCCAGGAACACACTGGTGTCTCTAAACTTAGTGTTTTACCTACAAATTGCAGCAATGCATTGTATATGCCTTTGACCTAGAGAAACATTCATTTATTTACACAAGATCTAATATTGTTTACATAATATCATCACAGATCTTTGAGGAAGACAATTTTTTTGTGTGTTAGACTGCTGTGTTAGCTGTGAACTGGTGAAGTATGAAAAGAGCTACGCAGTAACAAAATTGTAGATATTTTAGGAAATGAAGACTACAGTCTTGCCTGCATCCCTTCCCTCCTGTCCCATGTATGCTTATTTCTGCTAACTTATTACTCGACTATTTCCCATCCATTTCTCTTCAGTTCTGTGTACGGAGTGCTAATGGTTTATGTCTGTGGTGTGGCTTATAACATATGCACAACTCAGGTGGGACTGCCGTAGAAGAAAATGTGAACACTACCTGGATTCTCTGGGTTAGAGACAGAAATTTTGGGTTATTTTTCCTGAAGAATAAGTGAAATGGGACAGGTGGGGAATTGTGTTCCTGTTTTCAGCATTTACATAAAGGCTCATTCAATTTCAATCACTTTCATTTTACCAAACACCACCACAAAGGACAGATTCCTAAACAGAACGAGTGACTGGAAATACTCCTCTAATGCCTCTGTAATTGCTAAAAGAGACAAACTTGAAATTGTGACAAATGTACTCCCTTCTGTCTTAAGTCCTTCTCTACTGCTGTAAAGATGCACCATGGCCAAGGCAACTTACAAAAGGAAGAAGCATTTAATTGGGATTGGCTTACAGTTTCAGGGGGTGAGGGCGTGGCCGTCACAGCAGGGGAGCCTGGTGGAGCAGGGAGGAATTGCGCTGGAGCAGTAGCTAAAATCTTACACATTATGTTAGAGGCAGAGGAAGAGGTAAAGAGACTGGGCCTGGCATGGGATTCTGAAATCTCAAAGCCCTCTCCCAAGGATGCACCCCCTCCAACAAGCCATATCTCCTAATTCTTGCCCAACTGTTCCACCAACATGAAACCAAACATTCAAATATATGCACGTTTGGTGATCATTTCATTCAAACTGCCACAGTTCCCATACAAGGTAGTCATAGAACTTGTTGATTTAGAGGAATTCTGATCTTTGTATTCCTAATAATTCATGAATTAAGATAATGGGGTAGTGCTTTAGTGGTACTTTTCATTCCTGGAACAAATGCCTAAGAAGTTACTTAAAGGAAGGGAATATTTGTTTTGGTTCCTATTTCCGAAGTGTTGGTCCATGCTTCTATGATCCCATTGCTCTTAGGCTGGTAGCAAGGTTAAAATACCATGGAGGGAGAGCATGATAAAGGAAAGCTTTTCCCTTCATGACAGCCAGGAAGTAGAGAGCAGTAACAGGAAGGGTTCAAAGCCAAGCTATATCCATCTAAGGTATGTCTCCAGTCACCTGTTTACCCCAACTAGGCCCCACCTTCCAGTGCTCTACCACCTCTCACTAATCTATTTAAGGTAGGAATCTGTCGATGGATTAGTCCCCAAAGCTCTCATTATCTGGTGATTTCTGGAGGCATACATTCATAAGTGCTTACTAATACCCTAATATATTTCAATCCAATCAAGTGATCATCATAGAGGATGTCCATTAATGGAAGTCATTTTACACAAGGTATTAAACCAGAGGTTCTGCCCAAGGGGCAGCCTGACACAGGTATTATCACACAGAGCAGATGAAGACATCCATGTAGAAGGATGGTGATGGCGGCCCTCTTTGGCACTCCTCCAAAAGATTAGTTTGATAGTAGTGGTCAAAAGATTTCCCTTTAACAAACTGAGTATAGTCTTGAAGTTATTAAAACTCATACTATTAGAAGCTTAATATTATTTTAATCTCATGAATTTATTGTACATAAAAATGCATTTTAGCTGCTGTTCTTATTAATAAATGGTTTACTTTTATTGACTTACCAATATGTTATTTAGATCTAGATGTCATTTCCAAGAACCTCTCCTTCTCTGTCATGTCCCTTATTATCAAATAAAGGTATTAAGATTAGTAAACACAAACTATTTCCTACACAATACTGGGTTGATTAAGAAAAAGACATAAACTTTGTGGTAAAATTCATGGAACATTATGCTATACCTGGGTGCCCTAGGCTATGTTTTTCACCTCTTTATCACAACCTTAAATAGGAAGTTGCTCATGAGTTCAGAAAAGAGAGGAAAGTTTTTGTTTTGGTTTGGTTTTGGCTTCTGTTTATACCTTTAGTTGCAAAGTGACCATCACAGTTCCTAGTAGAAACAGTAAACATGAAAGTCAGTGTTTCCATTTATAACAGAGGAGGCTTGGATGTTTCAAAGAACAATTTCCCAGAGGTCTCACAGTATAAAAAGATCATACTTTAAATACCAGATTGGTCAGAACGGAGAAAGATGTAAAATTAGTTTATTTTAGTGCTGTATTTCTTCAGAAAATGTGGTAGGTAGGTGAACAGAGAGTGAAAGGGTAAAGTTTCAGATCCGTTCTTGTTCCACTTTCTCTAAAGTTCATACTTCATTGCACAAGTAAGATGTGGATTAATCTCCCAACTGCACATCAGAGAGGAGATGACTGCCTTGAGTAAGGAAAAGAGACTTCTTTTTAGAATTCAGTCTGAGCCTGCCTATGCCACAGTGGGGATGAACCTTTGAGCACCAATTCAGCACATGGCAGAGGACAAACTAGTGATGCCTTGGGATAGTCACTGTGCCTAACACCTGGAGAGAAAGAAAGCCCATAATCAATATCTCTTAAAAACATGGAAAGCATTTCAAGGATGTAAAAAACAAAACAAAACAAAAGATTCTTAAAAGATCTTAAAATTATACCATTTGTCAATAATAAATGAATTGACATTAAAGGAACTTCTGTATTTTCTGGATGTCACATCTCTACTACTATGGATTCAAATGCATAGAGGGGCTTATTATATGAGACAGAATTTGGTACTGATTCACAAAAAGGTCTCAGAGAGTGTGGGAGGCAATGGAAGATTTTTCACTGTACAACTGAATATACTCTGGGATGGCACAGGGGCTGGACTGTGTGCCTAAAAGCCAGCATGTTACACAAGATTTCTAAATGCCCCCCTAAAATCCCCAATCCTAACTGTTAGGATTGTGAAAATAATGAGATGCCATGGCCAGAATCATTATCTTGCATAGTAAAGGAATTTTTAAAAATGTGAGTATAGTTACTAATCAGTTTCTGTGTATATGTGTGTATACATATGTAGATGCTCATATGTTCGGTGTGTGACTATGTGTGTGCACATGCATATGGATGTCATACGTCAATATCAGATGTAGTTTGTCACAAGCTATTAAACTTGTCTTTGAGATCGGGTCTCTTTCTGGGACCTGGGTTCACTGGCTAGGCTGTGTTGGTTTGCCAGTAAAACCCAAGGATCTACTGCCTCCCCCTCAAAAAAAAAAAAAAAAAACCCTGGGATTATCACCACCATGCAAGATTTATAAAACTGTATATATTTATTCTATTAATTTTTATTTATGCACATGTATGTTGGTATGTGCACACAAGTGCAGTGCATTCAGAGTCCAGGAGATAGCATCAGATCTTCAGAGCTGGAGTTATAGGCTGTTGTAGGGCATCTGACTTTTGATGCTAGGAACCACAATTCTGTCCTCTGAAAGAGCAGAAAGTACTCTGAACTTCTGAACCATTTCTCAAGCACCAATGCCTGATTTTTTTTGTTGTTGTTGTTATTGTTGCTTTTTATGTGAATGATGGGTATTGAACTCCAGACTTCATGTTTCACATGGCAAGTGTTATTCCAAATGGTATCTCCCCACCCCCAGCTAATCAATTAACTCTGTGGTAATAAAGAAAATATGATTCAATCAATGATAAATCTTTATAAATAAGAGTTTTCTTCAACTAGTAGCAGGGAGTAATACATCAAAGAAAGTGAAAAAAAAAATCCATCTTTGCTTGCCTGAATGCAGATGGATAAGGCTGCTTATGCAGGGTCTGGAAAGTGACTTTAAAACAGTCATCCTACTCCCTCAGCTGGAAGGGACCAGATTCTGCCAACAACCCAAGCAAGCTTAGATTGATCCTTTTCTGGAAATCCAAATGTGATCCCAACTTACCTGACATATTTATCTGAGCTTTGCGAAACCTAAAATGAAAATCAAATTGACTTATATGCTACAAGATTATGAGATAATAGTAAGTGCTGTTTAAGAAACCAACTCATTCCA